TGATATAAAGTAAATTGGTGGAATATTCCTGCATTTCAATGTTTCATCTTTGAGTTACTTACAATATGCTAATGACAATAATGTCATGGAAGGCTTCATTAGATATTTGAACTTTGAAGTATTATTTTGATTAAAAATAGCTTCATGACATTAAAGTTATCATAGGCAATGTCCACAAAACTTACTAATTGAGTGGTCATTGTTGTTCGTTTTATTAAAATACCCTTAATAATAATAATAACTTCAGGAATAGGTAACTTATGTTTTATTAAATGTCAGAACGATGTTGGAATATGTGGATACCTGGGTTTGGTTCTGATGAACTTCGTCCCTACAAGAAAGCAGCAACTACTGAAGCACATAAACAGGTAACAAACTTGTTTGTAGTCTTGATTTCCTATAGGATTTGCCTTTGGGGTTGAGGGTTCCCACCCTTCTAATTTTCACAAACTAACATGAAATTTTATCTTTTATTTACAGAGGATGGCATTGATACGAAAATCACTCAAGAAATAACAACAAACTATCACTTTTGTAAACTCATTAAGATTTTTTTGACTGCAGTAGAGAACTGTGTATTTACTCATTTTGAAAAAATCTCACTTCCAAGGCAAGGGTCAGTTACTTATTTCAAGATGGGAGAGCCTACGTAGCACTCAGTTGATGTAATATATTCCTAAAGATATAATACAAAACACATAATACAACAGAACGAGAAACAGTGGAATACAATACATTTTATGAATACATTACATCAACTGCGTGCTACGTAGGTCCCCCCATTTCAAGATAGAGATAGGAACTGTATTAATGGAGAGATTATTTGTATATTTGTTGTGGATTCCTGAGTTCAGACTAAACTCTATTAATGTGAAATTGGGGAAGAGACCAAATAAACAAACAAACAAACAAACAAAAATAAGATAAAAAGAAATAAAATAAAACAGCAACAGAAAAAAGGAAAAAAAAATAGAAAAAAGAATTACATTGGAATTTGTAATCAGAGATGTGTAGTAGCTTTTGAAATTATTGCAGGCTCACATTAGCATTCTGAAGTTTGCTTAATATATYCACTGAGGTATTGCTTGGACATACTACTCATAAATATCTATTTTGTACACTCACATTTTCATGAATATTGTGACATGATATTCCGTAGTGGAGAGAAATAATTTGATATAATTACATTACTAAAATATAAAGACTAAGTCACAGTTTTGTTTGTTGCAATCGTTTTGCATATGATATTTATTTTATATATTTGCTTGCTCCTCATACCTGGAACAAGACTGTAAATATTGTGAGCCTATGATGTACTTTTTGTGCTGTTCAAATATTAAACTGTTGTGATTATGTATGTGTAGTTGATAACAGTTAATCTGAACTTGTACCCAGTGGTATTTGCAATGTGCAGTGCATTTAGGGAAGGGTGAAGGAAAATAAAGTTACTAACATCAACCATGGGAAATCAAATGTTGTGTGAGAGAGTGCAAGAGCATATTATTCTTACATGATGCTGTCTAGTGTGAAAGCATGGTCTGGAACAGTGCAACAAGTCGCACCAATTTGTCACTTATCTACTATCACTTAGAACAGGAATTATTTCACAGATTATAAACCTATGAACTAGAGCAAATCCACAATGATCGAGAAACATGTAAATACGTATGACATTGACACACCTAAAAGTAACAGTTACAGTTTTCATTTGTGCCTATTTGACAATCACACTGCAACAGCCAAGAAACCAGTCAACTCGCAGTACACTCAACAACTTCAGTCACTTCATTTGATGTGCCAAGCATTTCTTTGGATGCACCCAGCTAGCCAAGACAAATTCCCCTAATTAAAATACCCTTTTCAGTTAGTTAGAAAGCAAGATGTGCATGGAGCCTGTGGTTTTGAAACAAGCCAAGGGAGTGGTGAACAACCTGAAAATTGTCCTTATTGTTTATCTTTTTACAATGTCAGGAAAATAAATTTAATTGTTGGTGAAAAGTGGTTTATAATTTTGATAAGACTTGAGACTTATTTGTTTAGAGCTGTAGAGTGCTCGCACTAAATGTGTGAAATATAAATACTACAAAATAGGTGATAAATTATACAAATTCCTTTGTTTCCTATTGTATAATCAACACTATTTAGTAGTAATTAGTACTGTTTGTTTAACGCTTTTTAAAGTGCGAGCACTCTAAGGCCTTCAGAAAACATGTTGAGTGCTTTGACAAGCACACTAGAGTGATCGCACTTAAAACCATGCAACTGTACAAACTAAATAGTTCTATTTAACTGTATTTATTAAATCGTGCACGTGGTATGCAAATTAAATTGATAAAAATGAAGCATTCAATACTGTCTTGCTTCAGGTCCACTTTTAGTACAAATTAATACTACTTAGATTTTGTACAGTTTTSTACACGTTAAGTGCGATCACTCTAATTCCGTCTAAACAATTTACTAGTTTTAAAGGCCCAGTTGGCACCATTATGCTTTGCATGCCCGTTATTGTTGATTTACACCAAAATACTTCTAGTAGAGTGGATTTCGTATGAGTGGGAAACGGACAGTACTGTACTGTGACTGTAATCGTACTGTAACCAAATTCTAGTGCCCCATTGTTTCACCAAAATTCTGCAGGCCAGGNTAATCAGAGATGTGTAGTAGCTTTTGAAATTATTGCAGGCTCACATTAGCATTCTGAAGTTTGCTTAATATATGCACTGAGGTATTGCTTGGACATACTACTCATAAATATCTATTTTGTACACTCACATTTTCATGAATATTGTGACATGATATTCCGTAGTGGAGAGAAATAATTTGATATAATTACATTACTAAAATATAAAGACTAAGTCACAGTTTTGTTTGTTGCAATCGTTTTGCATATGATATTTATTTTATATATTTGCTTGCTCCTCATACCTGGAACAAGACTGTAAATATTATGCTATGATAGTGTACTTTTTGTGCTGTTCAAATATTAAACTGTTGTGATTATGTATGTGTAGTTGATAACAGTTAATCTGAACTTATACCCAGTGGTATTTGCAATGTGTAGTGCATTTAGGGAAGGGTGAAGGAAAATAAAGTTACTAACATCAACCATGGGAAATCAAATGTTGTGTGAGAGAGTGCAAGAGTATATTATTCTTACATGATGCTGTCTAGTGTGAAAGCATGGTCTGGAACAGTGTAACAAGTCACACCAATTTGTCACTTTTCTACTATCACTTAGAAAAGGAATTATTTCACAGATTATAGACCTATGAACTAGAGCAAATCCACAATGATCGAGAAACATGTAAATACGTATGACATTGACACACCTAAAAGTAACAGTTACAGTTTTCATTTGTGCCTATTTGACAATCACACTGCAACAGCCAAGAAACCAGTCAACTCGCAGTACACTCAACAACTTCAGTCACTTCATTTGATGTGCCAAGCATTTCTTTGGATGCACCCAGCTAGCCAAGACAAATTCCCCTAATTAAAATACCCTTTTCAGTTAGTTAGAAAGCAAGATGTGCATGGAGCCTGTGGTTTTGAAACAAGCCAAGGGAGTGGTGAACAACCTGAAAATTGTCCTTATTGTTTATCTTTTTACAATGTCAGGAAAATAAATTTAATTGTTGGTGAAAAGTGGTTTATAATTTTGATAAGACTTGAGACTTATTTGTTTAGAGCTGTAGAGTGCTCGCACTAAATGTGTGAAATATAAATACTACAAAATAGGTGATAAATTATACAAATTCCTTTGTTTCCTATTGTATAATCAACACTATTTAGTAGTAATTAGTACTGTTTGTTTAACGCTTTTTAAAGTGCGAGCACTCTAAGGCCTTCAGAAAACATGTTGAGTGCTTTGACAAGCACACTAGAGTGATCGCACTTAAAACCATGCAACTGTACAAACTAAATAGTTCTATTTAACTGTATTTATTAAATCGTGCACGTGGTATGCAAATTAAATTGATAAAAATGAAGCATTCAATACTGTCTTGCTTCAGGTCCACTTTTAGTACAAATTAATACTACTTAGATTTTGTACAGTTTT